TGTGTGTGTGTGTGTGTGTGCTGGGGGAGGGTTGGGAGGACCTTCCCCACCAATCAATCAACCAATCAAGCAATCAACCAATCAATCAATCAATCAATCAATCAATCAACCAATCAATCAATCAATCAATCAATCAATCAATCAATATTTCAATCAATCAATCAATCAATCAATCAATCAATCAATCAATTAATCAATCAATCAATCAATCAATCAATCAATATTTATTTATTTTTATTTATTTTTATTTTTTTTTCCACACACAAAAAACGACCCCCCCGAAAATTATTTTTTTTAACTTTTTTTTGTTCGAGGGGGTAGGGTCGAGGTTCTGGAACCCCAATCCAAACCCCCAACCTCCAACCGCCTCTCCCTTTGGCCGCTGCGGGCCGCAGCATTCCGCGGTCGCCGCGGTCATGACCGCGGGCTTGCGGCCCCGACCGCGGACCGCGGTCCTACCCGCGGCGACCGCGGCCGCTGGTGTTTCAGATACAAGCACTGAGCCCGTTATGGTTCGTGCGTATGATTTTTGAATTATCCCTGTAGTGAACACCGCTAGCTATGAGACAAATCGCACATCTTGCCCCACAATCTCCTCCAGACACAGACCCGTTGAGGTGGTTAGACGATAGATATTGGAAGGTCTCGAGGAGAACCCCAGGGGGGGGGGGCATGAGAAGCTCTGTGGCCGCGATTAATCAAAATTTGGAGAAAACTCCCCCCCCCAGATCGCCCACCCCCAAAGTGTTGGGAAGAGGTGGCAAGACAACCCCTTCTTGGGAACCGGTGGATCACAAATTTACACAGTCAAATCTTTTGCAGTTCGGATTCCCCATTAAAAGGATGGGTCAAGAACGGGATCACCCGGGTGGGGGACGTATGGGATGAACCGAGAAGAGATTGGAAAACACCGGAACAAATGAGAGAGAATCTCCGCTATTGCCATAATCCTGAAACAGCACTGGAGGAACTCCTGGAAGCCTTCCCTGTGGCCTGGCTCCCTATCCTGCGCAGAGGACCGCAATTGCAAGAGGGGGACTGGGTGTCCACTGTCCACCAAGGACTCTGCGAATTGAGCAGGGCTAGTACACTGGGTGAGACCAGAAGATGTCCTGGTTGAGGGGTACAGTGTCGGAAAAGATGGGCGGCTAACGGGTAGCAGAGTTCCTTTCGTATGGACCTCCAAAGACCAGTTGTACAGAGTGAGAGTCTATGGCGAAGGGGAAGGGAAAAGAACTTTCAGGCCTGAGATACCGCTAAGTATGCTCCCTCTGGACCCGACAGAGTGGGTGTGGAACTCGCCAGCACACCCCAGGGCACGCGAGCTAAAACCTTTGCCCCTCTGCAATCTGACTGTCAAAACTTCCTACCGGAAGCTCAGAGTCGGAAACGTTTTGAGAGACACTGTCCAGAAGCGCTGGCAGCGGCATCTAAACATAGACAAATAGTTGTTGGCGCCCATTAGATGGTTCAGAGACTGCAAATGCGGGCCGACCAAGATCGCATCCTTACAACGGCAAATCGTGCATCGTTGTTTCCCCACACATAACTGGTTGATCGATCACACTCAATTAGAACAACAAGCGCAGACTCTCCCTTGGTGCCCCCGGTGCCTTTTGACCTTCCCAGTACGGAAAAGGGAAGAAGCAATAAAGCACATTTTCTCCAATGCCCAGTAGCAGTAGTGACATGGAGATGGTGGGAGAGAGTATGGCAGCAGCTAGTCCCAGGACAAGCATGGCCATGCGAATGGAGGACGATTTTGCTTGGATACTATCTTGTCCTCCAAAACCAGACCTTTGCATGAAACATGTTCCACCTAGGAAGAAGAGTGATCCTATGGGTTATATGGTGGCAACGATGTGCCCTGGCCATGGAGAAGGCGTTGGTGGATGGGGAAGAGAGAAAGGAATATCTCAAACAACAACTTCAATTGGAACTGTCCTGACAGTGGACAGTAACAATACAGACATTAAGCTCTCACCGCCAATCAAAAGACATTCTAAAGACAATCAAGAAGTTTAGCCAAGAATGGCTGGGCGGTGATCGGGATGGATGGGTAGCAGAGGTGATATGGTCTGGTCCATGGGAAAACCAAGATCAAAGGGAAGATGAGCCTATGGGAGCAAAGCCCTCTCGGGACTACCACCTGACTTTTAAAGACTGGACTGCGATTAGCCTAGATGTCCCTCTACGCCCGGCAGAAGAGTTTGCAGACCCGTTTCCGCCCCACCACCAAGCAATAGAAGAATGGGTAGGATAGTCAAGACTTGGAGGGTAAAAGACCAAAAAAAAAGGTTTTAGCAGTCTTCCAACAACGACCATTTTCCCACAACTGTCCTTTTCTCAGATGGGATGCTGAGCCCATTTCTCAGCACAGATTGCATGAGGGCACCAGAAGGATAACACTAGCTCGGCATGGACAAGGGAAGAGAAGAAGAGCACATTGGTGCCCCCCGGTGACTCTCTTTCTAACCCTGGTCAAGCCATGAGGCAAGAAGGAAGAAGAGGTTGGTCGCATGACCGGGAGAGGGAGGAACTTTAACGGAATTGTAGGTATCTAGCGCCCGATACAGGGTGAAAAGGTCCTCCCCCCCCTTTATTGTCTCCTGGTAACCTACTCAGTCAATCCTCTGGACTCCAGAGCAATCAATGCTGGCAGGCGTTAGTCTGTTTCCTAATATCTTTATAGAAAAAAAAGGAGTAATCTACCCAGCCAATGCTTAGGGTTTTCCTGTCTTCCAACATATACATCCACACTATTCAGCAGATATAGTCAAAGATCAGGGGAGGGAGGAACTAGTGCGTAGCAGCAAGGATCTGGCGCCGAGTTCAGGGCGAAGAGGTCCACCCTTTAGTCAATCCCCCGGATTCCAGGGTAATCAATGCTGGCAGGAACCTCCCACATTGTTTTTCAGATGTATTCTAATTTCAGTCTGTATATGGGACGCTGGACCCGTTTTCCAGCAGGTGATGCTCCCCACCAATAAATGGAGCCTCTCCCCAGGTGCTAGTGGAGTTTGCTCTTATCAGCACCACTAACACTGGTGGGGATGTTAAAAAAAAAAAAAAAAAAAAAAAAAAAAAAAAAAAAGTGGCGGTTACTTTGTTCACTATTTTGGGCATCTTTTGCAATCACCACCATCAGATCATTTGTGATCTGATGGCCAGGAAGCGCTCTGCCGTGATTTCCAGTGGGAGGTCTCTGCTTCTTTTTTTCGGGGGGGGGTCTTTTGCCTGTTTTCTCAACCCAGAAATTCGTAATGAACGTGTCTCGCCGCTGCCACTTTGGAGCCCTGTTAAGCTTAGCCTCTTCGGTGTTATGAATCTAATAAGGGAATGGGTCCGTAGGAAGTCTAGAAATTTGTTTAGGCAGTTCCTCTTCCTATAAGACGTTTTACGGCGACTCGTTTTTCATCTTCGTCGTGTGTAGACCCGTGACAATTCCGGCTCTGGCGGTCGGATGAAACATGTAGGGTCAACCTCCAACAATTCGGACAGGATATTGACGACTATGAGCACGATGCTCAATAAGTCTTTCGGTTCAAGCCACTTGGGCTGACCTTCGTTGAATATACTTTGACGCCCTCGCGTTCGGGATAATTCGTGTGTCGTGTCGTCGTCCGACTGTGTCCTCTTCAAATCTCGTCTCTTCCCTTCTTCCTCTATTGATTTCTCTTATCCCCGGGAGGGTTGATGATATGCTATGTTGTTCAGCTGTACATTGCATGTTTCATTGATTGCATTGGTTATTACTTACCAATTTTTCCACTACGTAACCTCCGTAGAGATTTGACTACGTGAGTGTGGCTGGTAGACTCTGAGGCTAGCTTTGTTCTGATTTAAGCATTATGGCAAGTCAGTTCCCTCCTCGATCTTGTTATAATTGTGGTTCTCCTAGTCACTTTCAACGAGAATGTCCTCATCGGGGGTTTGGTAGAGGTTATGCAACAACCCAACGGGTGCTAACGCTACTCCGGTACTTACCTTACCTGCCCCCGCTTCGAGTACGTCTAATGTGGGTTATGTTGTTCCTAGTAACTCTGATGGGTGTTCCTCTAGGTTTCCCTCCGCCTCCTCTTCTTATGGTAGAACGAACTTTTGGCGCATCAACCAAGAGAAGTTGGACAAATGTTTCGCGAAGACTGTGGTGAATGAAGAGAAAAAAACCAAACTGAAAGTAGAAGAAGACAGGATCAAGATATTAAAGGAGGAAGAAGAAAGGAAGGAGGAATGGAAGAAAGAGCGTGAACGATTGGAAGCGGAGATGACTGCTCGACTCGATAAGCGTCTGGAGGAGAAGAACTGTCTTAAGACCAAGGAGAAGTCTATCGACGAGAGTGCTCTCAAGGATGAGATGGAGAAGATCCGTAAGGAAAACGAGAAACTTAGGAGACTGCTAACGAAGGGAGACGGAGAAAGTGGCGATGACAATGTTTCGAAGCTGCAGAGGGAGATTGCAGATTTGAGACGACAAGTTTTGGCGAAGAAGATTGAAGAGGATGATATTTTTGCGATGAAGCAAGAAATCGAACAACTGAGAATTTCTGGGTAAGCTAAGGGTAGTTTCAAAGTGGAATTGGATAGTCTGCGGTCAGAAGTTGGTCGATTGAAGCTACAAGGAGTCAAAGATCGGGAACAAGCAGAGTTGTGGAAGGGAGAAGCATTGCGACCTGGCAACAAAAGAGGGAGCGTTGCGATTGGTACCCCTGATGTCCCCAGTCACGGTTCTCCAAGGCCACGATGGAATGACAACTTACGCGAGACCGACAAGTGGAAGAAGGAGTATGCCAAGATGAAGGAAATGCATCGGGCTGCTAGCATCGAGGTCGGAGTCCTAAAAGGGAAACGCGCGGTTGTCGAAGGGGAGGTGGTAAAATTGAACGAGCAGTTGAATAAGGCCCCTATCGATGACTTTGTGCATCGTCGTGAGGGTGGGGGTACGAACCTCAAGATCAGGCTGGAGGCGGTTGCCAACCGATCTACGAGAAAAGGACTGTAGGCAACTCGGAGGTGCGATATCAGTGATGGTGCTGGATGTTCTGGTGAAACCAATGATTGCTTCCTGTTCATCGAGGCGCAAAAGAAAGAAAGACTTAAGGAATCACAAAAAGTCGGGCCTGGAAATGCTGTGTCGAGAATTTGGGTTGAAACTACGTGCGATTGACCTCATGATTAGGGACACTGCGGAATATCGGGCAGATAAAGCATTCGGCAAGGATGGAGATGTCATTACAGAGAAAGATAAGGAACCTCATATCCATGAAGTCTCTAAGGATTCTCCTTTTCATAAAGCGAATTCCACGTTGGAAGACGGAAGATCTGTTGAGCTTCAGGTGAGGTTCCTGAACGCGACTATCTATGGAGATGGGCACGTTATTGTAGGAAGTTGTGAGATAACGGTTCTTTAGAATTCCCTGTCGACACGAGGAGTGGGTGTGTTGATGGATTTGTTAGTGGTAAGTGTTCGGATCACTTTCTACGTGACAAAAAATTTAATGCTTTCTTTCGCTTGATTGCGCGGAGACTAATTATTGCGAATTGTGTTCCGTGGGTTGTTAAGTTTAAGTCGTATGTAGTGAAGGTGCTTTGTGAAGATGTTGAGTTAGAGATTGGTGAAGGTCCCTAGGTTTACATGCTGATATCCCCCTGGTCTAGACACGTGTATCTGGGGGCTGCAGGTAGATCACTGAATGTGAGATGGAATGAACACGTGTATAGATGCTCTAATCTTGGTGTGATTGAGGAAAGGAAGAGAAACCATCGACTGTACGTCTGGTTGAGAAGGTGTGGGGTGACCAAGTTTGTTATGATGCCTATTTGTAGATGTGAACTGCAAGATCTGTTCACGGTTGAGAAGAGTTTTATTCGATTGATCAACCCTAATCTGAACTGTCGAGATGTGCGACGCAAAGGGAAGTGAAGGAGGAAGGGTAAAAGAGAACAATGTCGAGAAAATTTGAGAAATGGGGGTTGTTTAACTAATTATGTTATTGCACCGCATATCACCTTTCGCTCAACGAAGGGTCACTCTTCGGTTTCTCTAATTCAGATTTTGGATGAACGTCTGAGTAAGGGTATCTCCTATATTGAAATTCTTTGTGACAATGGGGCCAGATTGGCCAATGATTGAAAGTTGGTCAAACGGAGATTCAGTACGTCAAATGTTTGCTCGGAGGGTGTGAGTGGGATCTTGAAGAAGTGTAGGTTTTTTTTCAAGGACGGTACCTTTATTTTGTTTAAAAGTATTGTTCCCTTTTGTTCAAAATTGATTTATCTGAAGCATGTCCTTGCTCAACTTTTGGCGGAGCCGGCAAAACGAAAAGATCTAAATACACGACTTTTTGGTGATTTGGTGCTCTCCTTTTGGCGATTCGTGCTTTTTTGGGGAAGAAGACACATTGTTCCCTTCGATTAATTATTTCTGGCGTACTAAGTAGAAGATTTCATGTTAATGTCAGGAAGAGGCTTATTATTCGAGTGCTTTACGACCATCGGTTGAGTAAACCAGGGATTAGGAACTCTTGCAAAAGGTTGATCAAACGATCGGATGCTGATGCAGATTGAAAAGACTTGGTGGTTCGATGGACTCGTGTTGTTTGGGTTAAAAACAAGACCATTGGGCACATTTTGTTTAATTTTAGGAAGTTTTCGCAGGAAAGCAATCTCGTCTGCACCTGTCTGGCACACGATGATGATTGGACACGATCCGCGGTTCATATTTGTTGTCGGCTGAGTAATGAGGAGTTTATCTCGACTTGGTTGAAGAATAATCTGAACATCTCCGTTCGGGTACGCACAATTTGGGCAAGCAATTAAAGCATGAGATTGACGATAGTTTGTTGGATGTGGGTTTTGAAGTTCCGTTTGTACGACTGATCGATATGTCCGTTTGTTTTAACTCTGTACGCAAGAACAGTGAGCCGGACACGCATTTTGAAAGGAGGATGTGGTTGAGTGGAGGACGAAAATGAAGGGGTTGGTCTGTGTTCCTATTGACCACAACCCCAGGGACACCATGGTGTGCTGTCCTCTGATCTATAGGGACGGTCTGAACAAACTTTTCTTGAAAAATGACGGTTTTGAGACGATGAAGGAGGATGAGGACTCTATGCTGCGAAGGATGGAGACCGAGTACAAGATGAAGAAACTGCCTGCCTTTGGGAAGTGGGACAAAGGAGGAAAGTTGGGACGGGCTTACGCAATTCCAAAGCACAAAGATATTTCAAAATGGCGTCTCATCTGCCCTTCCTTTTTGGAAGGTAATGTGCGGGGTTCCAGAATAGTATCGAGGGTTCTGAATGAGATGTTTTGGCAGCTCCCCAAGAAATCACATTTTAACATGAAAAGCACTGACCTCCTGCTGCAACAGACACAACTGGTGAACAAAGATGTGAGAAATGGTGACGAATTGTTGATTGCTGCTTACGATGTGAAAGAGATGTTTTGCAACCTCCCACATTGTTCGATTAGACTATCCCTTGATTGATTTTTGGATTAAGTCAGGTGTTGAAAAAGCCACGATCAGGAAACATGGGAAAGGTGTGAAACTTACCCAGGGTAGCAAACAGGAGGGTTGGCGCTGGATCGATTTTCGCCACCTTCTTGACTTTGTCTTGTTTGACCTGGACAGCACCTTTACTATGGTAAGCGGGAAGATCTTGCGACAGAATATTGGAATTCCGATGGGGAAGCCATCGAGCCCTGCGATTGCTTGCATGCTGTGCGGCCAACGCCGGCCATTCCAAATTTACGTTCTTACTCTCTCTAGGGGCACCGGGCTCTGGTACATGGAATCCGTCTTATTGACGATGTGACAATCTTCATCAAATTTCGGAAAGGTGACAAAGAAGGTGAAGTGAAGGCATGGAAGATATTGGGTAAATTTGAGATTTCCTACGATAGGAACCTCACCTTGGAATGCACTAATCGATCTGGTCCCTGGGAGTTCCTGGGATGTGTTTTGGATGATTTCGGACCCATCCCTTGGTGTGCGATGTGCTGCCGTATTGAAAAACCAGCATGCTGTATGAAGTGGAGTTGTAAAATTCCAGAATTTGCAGGATGCGGTGTCTTATTCTAGCCGAGAGCAAAAGATGGTGGTGATCACTTCTTTCATGCACCGTGCTAAGCGATTCACCGATATGCAGGAGGCGGAAGGAGTTTTTCTCCTTTCGCTAAAGATTGAATTGAGAATTCGAGGGTTTACTGATGATTACTTTGATACTGCGTTGAGGTGTTTCTCCATGAAGTTTGGAGGATTCTGGGATCCTTGGGTAAGGATGTTGACTGACTGGGATTGGTTTCCCGAGCGCGAGATGAGATATGTTAACTTGCATTGTGATGAGTGCGTGGATAGGGGGGCACCTGTTGGGTTTCCTGAGGACAGAAGGGCACCTGTTGGGGTTTCTAAGGATAATGGGGTACCTGTTGGGCTTTCTGAGGATAGTGGGGTACCTGTTGAGTTTTCTGAGGATCTCAGGCCTTACTAGGAAGCATAGAAGGTTCGTTGGCTTATAGGTCCCCAAGCAGGACCCTGCACGGCGCAGTGTTTTTGGCCGTGCGAATTTGGTCCGGGACCCAGTTGTAGGCCCAACTTTGGGGCCCTGTTAAGCTTAGCCTCTTCGGTGGTATGAATCTGACGGAGGAAAGGGTCTGTAGGAAGTCTAGAAATCTCTTTAGGCAGTTCCTCTTCCTATAAGACGTTTTACGGCGACTCGTTTTTCATCTCCGTCGTGTGTAGACCCCTGACGATTCCGGCTCTGGCGGTCCGATGAAACATGCAGGGTAAACCGCCAGCAGCTCGGACAGGATATTGACGACTATGAGCACGATGCTCACTTTCGGTTCGAGCCACTTGGGCTGAGCTTCGTTGAATATACTTTGACGCCCTCGCATTCGGGATAATTCGTGTGCCGTCGTCTGACTGTGTCCTCTTCAACTCTCGTCTGTTCCCTTCTTCCTCTGTTGATTTCTCTTCTCCCGGGGAGGGTTAATGATATGCTATGTTGTTCAGCTGTACGTTGCATGTTTCATTGATTGCATTGGTTAATACTTACCGCTGCCACTCAGTGTCACACTGGATCGGCCACACTCCTATCCGACCGCTGATGGGACCTCGCCCCCGGGTAGACTGTGAGGACCCCGGCCTCAACTCTTTGATGAGAATATAAGCCTTGGGCACTGGGCCCGCGTCTTGTTTGAATAAATAAATAAAAATGAAAAAAAATAAAGGGCCTCACCGGAGCACTCTCGAAATGTGAAAAAGACAAAAATGTGGCAGGTGCATCTGGCCAGACCTGAGTGTCTCTTTTCTTTTCTTCCTTCGGGCCTCGCCACACAACTCAATTAGGAGTAGTGGTAGGTAGGTAGTGTGAGGTGAAATTGAGAGAAGAACGAAAAAAAAGAAAAAAGTGGAAAATACAAAAATGTGGCGGGTGCATCTGGCAATGTTCTAGCCGGAAGTTCATTCTCATTTTGCACATTTCGAGAGTGGTGTGACCAAAAAAAAAAAAAAAAAGAGTGGTGTGGCCATGCCGTTCCTCTTCATCTTTTTTTTTTTTTTTTTTTTTTTTTTTTTTAAGGCTAAGCCCAACCAATTCAATTACCTGTCAAATCTGGACAGGACGGCCTTTCAGGCCTTTTTTTCATTGTCATTATAGTATTACGGGGAACCCGTAGCAGCCACATCCGTGCTCATCCCGGCCTCTACTTTTCTGCTATAATGAATGAAGCCCAAAAGGGCCCCTTTTTTTGTAAAAAAAAAAAAAAACAAAAAAAAAAAACATCCGTGCTCAAGACTCCAACGAGGGAACATGCGGGAGCTGCACCCACCAGCAAGTGCGGTACCTGCTACAGCAGGTGGGCGATACCGGCCAGGGGTCAGCCGGTAGCATCAGGACCGATGGGCCAGTCACTGTGCCTCCCCTCCGGTCCCCTCCCCCTATGAACATCAGCAGTCTCTGCTCAATGCCACTCGAAGGGACCAACGGCATATCTCTAGGTGGCGGGCGCCAAGCTTGCCCAGGAAGGTACATGAGGACAATGGGGATTGAACCCAAGACCTCCTGAATGCCACTTGCATGCCTTAGCAACTGAGCTAGGCCGCTGGATTTTCTCTTCATCTTATGACCTGAGTGTGGACGATACTGTGAATTTTTTTTTTTTTTTAATTTTTTTTTTTTAATTTGGACCATTTCGCGATTTATGCGTGTCATCCTTGCGCAGGGGCCATTTTGGTAATTACCCTTCTCTGTATAGTTCCAATTTTAACGGATGTCCCCAAGGACGCTACTGTGAATTGGCTTGTGGTTCATGAATCTTTCGTGGATTGCTTTACGAAGTGCATCGCCACACATGTCTCGAAACGTGCAAAATGAGAATGAACTTGTACCTAGAACATGGCCCGATGCGCCCGCCACATTTTTGTCTTTTTCACATTAGGACAGTGATGTGGCGAGGGCCGAGGACATATTCTAGGGGGAAGTTCATTCTCATTTTGCACATTTCGAGAGTGGTGTGTGGATGGCCAAAATTGAATCAGAGTGATTGGAATGCAATCTTTCTTTTTCTTTTTTTCTTTTTTTGGCTTTTTTTTTTTGGTTGGAATGCAATCTTTCGAAAGGTACAACAAGGAGTCTTGCGACAGAGAGGGAAGCAAGTACTCGAAGCAGAGCAGATCCGATCCATCCCATCCATGCCCACCATCGCCGGTGTAATGTACAAACCCACTATAGCCCTCTGTCGATTTCATTTGGCCGTCATTATGGGCCTCGCTCCACTACTCTCGACATGCACAAAAGACAAAAAATCATGGCGGTGTATCTTTCGATGTTCTAGCGGAAGGTTCACTCTCGGGGCCTCGCTGCACTACTCTCGACATGCACGACCGACAAAAAAATCATGGCGGTGCATCTTTCCATATTCTAGCGGAAGATTCCCTCTCGTTTTGCACATTTCGAGAGTAGTGCAGCGAGGCCCTCGATTTGCACATTTCAAGAGTAGTGAAGCGAGGCCCTAAAAAAAAAACAAAAAAAAAAAACAAAGGAAGCGAGGCCCTATGTCCACGACATGCAATAGGGTTCCGGAGGACGCATGTCCGTAACAGAGCAACAGACAGCCCGGACAATTGCGATAAACTCACGTTAGAGCATGCTAGAGGCAATCCGGCCGTACAACTACTACGTCCAAAACTCTGTGTGTGTGTGTGTGTGTGTGTGTGTGTGTGTGTGTGTGTGTGTGTGTGTGTGCGAGAGAGAGATGTGTGTGTGTGTGTGTGTGG